GCAGAGTGGGTCTAGGGGGGAAATGGAGGACATCCAGCACAGAAATTGCTCTATTGGAAGCAGAAAAGATCTTAAATTAGTTTCCATGAGAGCTTGACAACCCATCAAAGCCTTTGGAAAACGCCCTTCATTATAATCACAGGTAGAACCTTCATGGCAGACCCACCTTGATGGGAGAACACCAGGGTTCTCAGAGAACCGCAGTATTTACCTGCTGAGTAATCCTGTGCCACTGAAAAGCACGATATTTACTTGCTGGTGGAAAGCTGTTGAGTGCTCACACTTTTACAGCAATTCTGCCTGTTTCGGTGGCCTGTTGCGAATTTAATAGTGTCTGTTTGCTAACAATCTGAGTTAAACTGGAGACTCCAGGGAAGTGTGATTCAGACAAGTTCAGAAACTCTCCGAGGACAAAGGCTGAACCAGCTGTTGTCTAACACAAAGCTACAAGGATGTAATAGAACTTCAGCAATGTCCCCAGGCACAGCGGGCTCACTGCAGGGACCTGCCCAGCTGGGAAGTCCCCCAGGCTGATGGTGTTGATGTGTGACCCTGTGCTTCTGAGGGCTTAGCCCCTTCTCCACATATCCAGACCATGCCTCCAGCGGGCCTCTTAGCCACCCTCAGTGCTGGTCCCTCCTTGGCAAATGGAGGGCAGTAGAGTAGCTGACAGAGCAGAGTAGCTTTGTGAGCAGTAGAGTGGCCGGTGCCAAATCTAGACATGTACAAAGAAAAGGACAAAAACCAGAAGAGATCTAGAACTGGCTTCACCTCAGCCTGGCTTTCTCTCGACCTCAACTAAGTAGCTGACATTTTCCTCATGCATCTTCCTACTGTTTTGTCTTGTTTTGCTTTGATTATAAAAAAGCACAAAAATCTCCCATAGTAACAGTCTCCCAGATAACAGCTTTTAACCTTTAGCTGTTTTATTTTTTTTCTTATTGAAATGCTGATCCCCAAGCTCAACCCTAGAGATTCTGGTTTAATTGGACTGGGGTGGGGCCAAGTAGCACTTATTTAAACTGTGGCAAAACACACGTAACATAGAAGTTTAACTCACTTTAGAAACTCTTATTGTGAGCTGGGTGTGGTGGTGCATGCCTGTAATTTTAGCACACAAGAAGCTGAGGCAGGAGGGTCACAAGAGCGAGGCCAGCCTGGGCACCTTAGCAACTTAGCAAAATTTAAATATGTTTAAAAGGCTAGGGATATAGCTCAGGGCAAAGGGCCTAGGTTCAATCCCCCAGTACCTCAAAAATAAATAAATATTCTGAGCACCTACTGTATGTACTGTATACCAGCATATCCAAGACCAATATAGTCACTGCCTTCTGATAAGGAAGCCAGTTGGTGAGCAAAGCTCAGGAGAAGGGCATGCAGAATTTTAGGTTTTGCTCTCACTGGCTCATCTGTGCACTTATTTGCTGAGCGCACACTATATACCAGGCACTAGGGGCACAGGTACCAACAAGAGCTCGGCCAGGCCCTCACAAACAAATTACCTGGATCCCATCTTTAATTCTTGCCTTTCTTGTCCTGGTTAGGATATTTTTGTTGGGCAACATACTACGTCCACCTCCTAGTTCAATTTACATTGCACCTGGGATAAACAGCAGAACAGGGGTTTCCTGGCCCTGCACTGTTAAAATTCTTTGTCCAAAGTCACAGCGTTCAAAGGCCCCAGGTTGCCCACCTTCTCCCTTGCAGGTTCCAGAGCCATGTGTCCTGTGTCATAGAGATGAGTACTCGTGTCATCTTTGTTCTGCCTCACAGCAGAGTCTCTGTGGGCCTCTGCTGTCACTGCTCTGAAAAACAGGGCCTGGCCTTGCTCCAACCCAGCCTAGGACACAAGTCTCTGGACACGCACACTCCTCTAACTACCCTTAGACCTGGAAGCATCTCTGGAACATACTTGAAGACTTCCTAAAACATTCACCAGGATGTCAGCTTCAAGTCAGTACCTGGGCACTGAGCATTTCCATCACTAGCATATCTCTTGGCCAAAATGAATATTAACAAAATGAAGGGTAGGAGAAAGGAGAAAGGAAGAAAAACAACTGGCAGGTGGCCTGAGCTCCTGAGAGCTCTTGTCCACTGCTTCACAAGCCTTCTCTTTTCCAAGTGTCCCCACCTCCTCCTGCCACCCTCCTGTCCCTTCCGTCTGATGACAGAAGAACTCTGCATGGGAGATTGAGTATGGTATGATTGGGTCAAAGGAGGAGCGGATCAGAAGCAGCTCCAATAAATAACGCTTCAAAATCTAGTTCATTTGGCCCTGCTCAGCAAATGCCGCGGAACTCTTTCAGTGAGCAGATCCCTCCCACTTGTGGCTCAGAGTAGAAAGGGTGACTCTGGGTTGCCTGCCAGCGTCTGCTCTGATTGGCTGGCCTGGCCCGTGTCGGCATCACAAGCTCTGTGAAGGGCACACGTAAAGGAGGCAGGCAGCGAGATTTATGGCTCTGCCTGACAGGCTCCTCCCACAGAACCGAGAAGAGACACAATCTGCTAGAAGTGACTTTTCAAATTATCTGTAGAAAACATTAGTGGATATTTTCCCATCTGCATGCCTCCGGGCCTTATTGAGTCATAAAAAGTAAATGGTTTCCCTGAATGCTTTGACAAACCTGATAGTTCCAAGCCATTTTTGAGTTGATTGATTTGCCATTATGCATCAGAGTGTTTCTCCCATAAAGGCTCCCTGGCAAACACAGGGCTGGAGAGAAAACCTCCACACAGCCGAGGGAAGCCGTGGCCAGGAAAACCAGCAGCGACAAGGCTTAGTTCGGGTGGAGCTGCTAAAAAGCACATTAGGAAGGCTTTCCAGAGGTGGTGGCTTTGGAGACAGTCCTGAAGGGAAGTGGTAGGTATGACTTTCAGGGAAGTGGGAGGAGGTGTACAAAACAGAAGCAGTGGAAACAAACAATGTGCTCTCCACCTGCTCTGGGCCAAGGTCAGCAGAGCATAGAAAACATGACCAAAAGCTAAAAATAGGAGCTGACTGCTAAGGACATTGGGCTTAAGCCTTTAAAGATGGACCTGCAGGATAGTGGAGGGGCCTCGAGCCGTGACCTGGAAGCCAGTTGTCACCGAGATCCGGAGTCGCCCTGATTCAGAAGGAAGGGCACATTGATCCCTGCTCTGCACCTTCCCTGGCAGTTACTCGGTCCTGGAAGAGGCGTGTTCTGCACCAGCTTCCTGAGGCAGCCTCTGTCTGCGGGGTGGGCAGACGCCTCTGCCGGTGCAGGAAGATGAGACTGAAGTGGTCTCTGGGTCAGATCTGTGCTTTGTTATCGCGGGCACCCAGAGTCATAGTTCTCGCTCTTCCCGAGGGTGGTGTAAAGAGCCTTGCCTCCTGTGGGGGGATTTTAGTCCCCCAGAATGGGCTGCTTCCTGAGTACAGCCTGGAGCACCCCAAGATTTGGCATGAGGACAGATGGGGAATGAAAGTGTCTCCCCCTCTTCCCCTGCAGGGTGGCATCATTACTAACACCACACATGCACTGAAGGTCTAGGAAGGGTCCAAGGGGTGAGGCCTTGAGCACAGCCAAGGAGCTGACAACAGAGGTCCCAAGGCCCTCTGAGGGACAGCCCGACCCTCCCTGTGCAGCACCTAGTCCAAGCACCAGAAAAATAAAACACAGCCCGCCTGTCACAAAAAAATAGAAATGAGCTGGGAAATGGCTCAGTGATAAGAGTGCTTGTCTAATAGGCAAGAGACTCTGGGTTCCATCCCCAGCATTGCAAAAAAAGGAAAGAAAGAAAAAGTAAAAACATTAACAAATGCAAGATGTGCTGTACAAAATAAAGACACAGCTTAGGAGTCAGGAAGCAAAGGAATGACTGGAACAAGTGAGGCCCGTCAGAAAGGCTTCCACAGAGGTGACATCTGTGACAGCTGTAAGAAAGTTATGGACATAGCCAGGTAGAAGGGCAGGAAAACAGCATTTAAGACAGATGCATGAAAGTAACAGATGAAAGAAAGCTCAAGGCCCTGCGGTTCCCAGTGCCACACAAGACCCTGCCTCGGCCCACTGTCTAGGGGTTAAATGACAAGAGTAGCCCACACAAGGGGACAAGGGGACCTTAAGTGAGACCATCGGAAAGCCCAGTTGTAAAGGGAGAAATGTATAGAATGGAGGTGTTGGGCCTTTTCTGTGGACAATGGAGGACCTTTGATGAAAATAAGCCCTCATGGCATCTGTGTCTCAGATTGTTCGGTGAAATTTGTTTTTCTAAGATACATCTTGTCCTTTTCATTCCTGTGGTCAATGACACCAGCAGCTCCACACATAAAAACAGCATGATGTGCAGACTGCTCACTTCTGCCTTATGTGGTCCCTGCTCACCACTTCCCCAGCCCATGCCAAAACTGTTTTAAAAAAGCAAACACCAACCCCATCTATAACAGCCATGCCAGCCAGGAGGGATTGTTGCCCACTGCATGTTCTGCTCTCTTTGCCACTGTCTGCTGGCCTTCGGGCCTCTGTCTGAGAGGCCTTAGCACCCTCCTAGCTACCTGCTGAAGTCCCTCTCATCCCTCAAGGGCCATGGAAAACTGCTTCCTCCAAGAAGCCTTCCCACAGATCCTACTCACCTGGCCGGTCTTCCCCTGGGCCCTCCACTGTAGCACCCAGCAGACCGCTCACCTTGGAGCCGCCTTAGTGAGGCTCTCCCCCCACATCAGGTGACAGGATCTGAGGGAAGCACCAAGGCCTTTCCCTGAACTGCCCACAACACAGGTAACTGCTCCACAAATGTCTGCAGAATGGGACCGAGACTGGCAAACTCCACTCTTGAAGCATCCTGGACTGGGTGGTAGAGAGAATTGCAGGATGCCTGCCCGCCTCTTCCCTGGCCTGCCTCCTGCTCTGACCTTGTCTCCAAGGGCAGGACTTCCTTGGAGCTTGAGCTCTTGTCACTTCTTAGCCTTGTTACCCTCCAACCTGATTGAGATCAGGAATACTTTGTAGATGAACTTATGAGCTTTTTTCCATGTTTAGGCACAAAATGAGCTGATGAATTCAGGCTTGTACCTGATGCTGCTGCTTCGCCTGTATGAACAGAGATTTGCAGAACTCATGAGCCTCAACTATAGGTGGATCGTGAGAGAAAGGGTAAGTGTGGCCCTGACCTGGAGCCATCTGCTGCAGCCTGAAAAACTCTAGGGTGGTGTTTATTAGAAGTGCAACTGTTGAGGTCTTCACAGTCATTTGGTAGGATACAGGACTGTCATTTTTAGGACTAAGACTTAGCAGTTGCTGTGTATATACAATGACCCTCTGGCTGGAAAATAAGTGATAGTCACATAATCATGAGTAGTAATTAAATGGTCACATAAGTGAGAGACTCCCTAGGGATATATGCTCCCCAAAATGGAGGCCAACAGGGGTGATGGGGCCGGTTGTGTACTAGGTGTGGCCATGCCCACTGCCCAAGAGTGGAAGATCTGTGAAAAACTGGTACCTTCCCAAAGGAGAGTTGATTAGCAATCAAGCCATAAGACTAGCCCTTCTTCCTATTTTGCTTTGGATCCCAGGGCACATTATGTCACCATGTGTGTGCGTGCGTGTGTGTGTGTGTGTGTGTGTGTGTGTGTCTGCCAGGAAATAAAGGTACTGAGGATGGCCCCATTTAGAGTAGTGAGAATGTATTTACCAGGAACAGGAACAGTCATCTGTGGCTGCCCTTCCTTTAATAAGAAGCCTGGGCCCTCTAGGAGTCTGCATGGAACAGAGGGAGAGACTTGGCTCTGTTACTAACTGGGCTTCGGCCTTTGCAAACTCAGTGATGGTATCCAATGTGAAGTATCCTAGTACACTTGGCCATTGTCAAGTCAGCCCCTTGAGCCCCACAAGACTTCCGTCTCCATCAAATGGCTGGCTGTGACCATGCCAGGCAAGAGATCTCTGAAGACAGGAGCATTCCTTTCCTTAAGGTCATGCCTGGGCACCTATGCTCTTAGGGTTCCCAAGACACCCCAGGAAGCTTGGGTCTTGACCTCTACTCCTGTGAGAAGGTCCTGTCAGAAGTCTTGGCAGCAGACTGACAGAACCAAGAGGAAGTTTTACTGACCTGCCATCTTGCTCCATGTACCTCTCTCTCCTCATTGTCTGCCCTCCCCCCTCCCTTCTCCTCTCCCTCTCCTCCTGTTTCTCTTCCTTCTTCAAATGGACAGGAGGTATTTGGCAGCACCAGTCACTAGCCAGAGGTTGGAGTGTAGTCATTCCGGGCCTTCGGTAACACTGCTATAGACTATGTGACCTCGGGCTGTTAAACCATTTACAGCCACCCCTATGTGGATTCAAAACCGTCAGTCATAAGAATTCTAAATTCCTTCCTACTTTTTTCCAGTTTAAACTCTCCCCTTAGATCCTGAGCTCCCAATTAGGAAAACAGACTGGGTCTCTGCCAATGTATCTCCTCAGGAATCTCACCCTTCTTTTGACCTGGGCCTGTCTTTCCTTAACTCTTCCATGGTTTTAATGGTGACATAAATTCCTCAGAGAAATACATTATTTAAAAAAAGGAAAGTACAGGAAACAGGATATGATCTTTTTTAATATTTCTGTAGCTTCATTTTCCTTTTTTCCCCCACATCTTTTTAATGAACTTTTTATTGCACACTGAACTTCAAAGCACCCAGGGTTGATGTAGGGTGCAGATGGCCCCAGCATCAGCGAGCTAATGCAAGTGACATCAGCCACTAGGACTGCAAAGCAAACAGGGGAAGACAAACAGTAAAACCCAGTGGTTGAAAACCAAGGCCCTAGAGCAGTGATAGCAAACCTTTTAGACCTTTCAATGATACACGCAGCCCACTGCAGCTTGCGTGCCAGAGGTTCGCCATCACTGCCCTAGAGCATTGACTCTAAGGAAACTTCGAGTAAAACTTTTCGGAGAAGGAGTAAGTTACCCCAGGAAGAAGCTGGGAAAGCAGAGTAGAAAGAAGCAGCAAGGGTTAAGTGAGCTTCTCTCACCACCAGGTCATTTAATTTGAGAAACTCTGAAAAAGATTTCATCCACCTTAATCACCAAGCAAGAGCTGAATACAAATAGCCAGTTAAGAGGGAGGTACCCATAGGAAACAAAATAAAACCAACTGGATCTACACCTCAGTATCTTCCTATGGAAGTCGCACACTCTCTAAAGGTAACATTTAGCAAAAGAGAAGCACTGAGTCGGGAGAGAACCCTCTTTCCCACTCCTTACCTACCAAAACTGGAGGAGTTATGCACGTTGGGCTTCTTGGCTGTCTCATTAAGAGACCCATGACAAATGCCTGTTAGCAGTGGCAATCATCATTTCCTCATTTTGGCATGTACAGTCCTGCACTAGGGGCTGAGATGGGATAGGGAAAGTTATGCCATGATGCCCTTTTTTTTGAGGACCTTAGGACCAAGTTAGGAGATGACACTCACATATTTATAAATCTGGAAATTACTAGAAGTAGCTCCTGGGCAAGAGAATTCAGGTCAAGTGAATTCCTAGAGGCTGTGAAATTTCAGCATCTTCCCTGGTGGGGGCTTCAAGTGACTCGGGCCTTCTATGCCTGTCTTTCCTGATGCTAGGCACACAGTGAGTCATAGCTGACTGCTGACCATGCCCCAGGGACTGTGGATCCCAGGAACACTGGGTGATTTCAAATATCCCAAATCACTGCTGAGGTTGAGCATGGGTTGGGGGCACTCATTAGCAACTTGGGCATGGAACTCTTATCCCTTTTGTATCCCAAAGTTCTCCAGTTCCTAAAAATTGCCTAGTATATAACAGATGCTTAGCCCAGGCATGGTGGTGCACACTTGTAATCTCAGCACTTGGGAGGCTGAAGCAGGAGGATTGCCAGGAGTTTGAGGCCAGCCTGGGCTACATAGTGAGTTGAAGGCCAGCATGAACTAGCAAGATCCTCTCAAAAAACAAAACAAACAAACAAAAAAAGATGCAGGAAGCAATTCTTGAATTATGTTTTGGAGAAAGTAAAAGTACAACTTTATAGAAAGAACAGTATTCTAAGGAAGGAATACTCCTAAATTCAAGTTATACTCATTTATTCTTCACACCTACATATGCCCAGTTCTAAAATAGATCCTGGAAATGCAGAGATGATTAAGACGCAACTTGCCTATAAGGACCCAAGAGCCAGAAAAGAGGATACCCCAAACTGTGCTTGTGTCTTGATAGCAGACCAAGGCAGATGAGGAGGAACACCCAGAAGTTAGATGAAATGAAGAACCACCAGTCCTGCCTCCTCCTATCCTTTCTCCAGGATGGACACTGCAGCTGGGCTCTTCAGGGACTCCAGATAGTGCCAGGGAGGCCTTGCTTTTAATCCATCAGGTTTTGTCCCTTGTGAGTCTTCATTGAGAGCCTGGTGGCAAAACTCCTCTCAGCTGATCCGCGGAGGACATGTTTAGACTGAATCTCGGAGACTTGTTGGACAAGGGTGAGTAGGGAGGAAAAGGCATTCCATGCAGAGGAAATGCAGTGCTGTAGAGACATGGAAAGATTCGTATGTTGGCAGAAAAGGAGTTGTGTGGCTGGGCCTGGCAGAAAGTGAGCCAGAGGTATAGGCAAGTGCCCCAACACCAAGTGCTGAGGTATGACTCGGGAGGCCAAAGAGATTTGGTTGAGTGCGAGGTGGGTAGCTGTTGAAGTGGCACAGAGCAATTAGGGGACTCATGTGGGGAGCCTAAGATGAGTGTGGAGAAAGGTAGGGCTGAAGGAAGTACTGCTGCTGCTCTGTGCCCATGCCCAACAGGAAGCTGGCCTTCCCTCACTTCAGGCGCCATGATGGGAACATCTCCAAAGAACACAGGACCTAAACAGCTGCACCTGACCCCACATGCTCATCTGTTAGTCTGAGGGGACACAGGCTGCCCTTGGAGGCGAAGCTAACTGGACTTGCCTTCCTGCCATTTTAATTTCATACCTACAAAGTGTATCCCATTATTTGGGTTCTGCTCCCTCAGACCTGCATCCTGGGCTTCCTCCTGGCCTGGATCTTGTCTCTATGTAATTATTATAATGTTTCCTGAAGAAAACACCCTCCTTTGTCTTCTGCACCAGGTGTGCTGTTGATGAAAACACAGGCTAGGTGGCCCGGGAGGGGACTGCAGTGACTGAGGGGCAGGGTGAATCTAGAAGCAGCTTTCAAGTCCCATGGGTCCATTCATGCCTTTGGCTGGATGGACCATGTCCAGGGCCCCTCTCAATATACTCAATTTCTACAAAACCAATACCTCTTGCCTCGAGGGACCAAATCTACCCAAAATATGGAGTCCAGGTTTGATCCCCAGTTAGAAAAAACTTCCTACTCACCAAGATGGAGCTTCCTGGTGTAGGGAGGGTTGGTTACCTGGACATGATCACCTTGCACAGAATCTAGTGGCAGGTTGAAGTTGCCTCGGAAGCCCAGAGAAAACGAAGGTGGGGGTTAACATCATCCTGATGTATAATTTACTGTGTCACCAGGACCTGCTACCCTGAGATGAAATTCCATCCTTCCCCTGCCTCCCTCTATGGGCACAAAAAGGGGCCAAGGTACCACAGCTGCCTCTACACTGGCCAGGCAGTTGCCCAGTAACAGTGTTCAGCACCCCAGCCTGTGACAAAGCCCCTCTTCTTGGGGAAGAGCACCAGCCCCTTTGCAGAGGAGCCCACATCCTTGCCGCCTGGCGGAGTACACAGTGTTTCCTATTGTAGCAAAAAAAAATGCCTTAAAGTCAGAACAAAGAGAGCGCCCAGGGCCTTGATGGGTCTGCTGCTTCCTGCTGAGCAGAGAATACAACCGATTGTTTAAAAGCCAGTCAGTGGTGAGGCAAGTGGCCCATTAGTACAGCCCTCATCCCAGGGGCCTACCATCAGAAAAGGATTCTGCTACTCAGATCAATTGCTGAAAGGAAGTGAGTCTGTTCACACTGCCAAATTTAGAGGCCCTAAAACAGCAAAGGTGACCCGGGTTATCAGTGCAGCAGTCCTGGAACTAGCTAGGCCCTGTCTATGCTGGGTGTCCACGAAGCCCTCCGAAACTCCACCCATTCCCTGCCCCTTTAAGGTGATGTAAGGGATTCCTAGAACATTCCAGAGACTAGGGAATTGTACATCTGTTCAAAATTGCATTGGAGAAACAATTCATTTCTCATTGTCTTCTTTTTCATAGTTGTCAAGAAATTACTCACAACCCAGACCCGAAGAAAATGAAAGTAGGTTTGGGGATCAGTCCTGCCTTTTTGAGGGTGTTTGCTAAATCACTTTTTCTGTTACTGTGTTTAAACCTAATGCTGTTGGAGGAAGTCATGACCACCACCAGAGGCAAACATAACCCCACAAAGCTTGGGAAACTGTAGCTGCAGCAAACAATCAGGAAGGCCAGTCCAAGTAGGCTGGATACAGAGCAGGTAAAAAATTTAATTCATACAGAAAGTAAGGAAAAGGATCAACAAAGGGGAAGAGGGTATCAGCAAGTGTAAGATAAGGTTTTTTTCTATTCCTTTTTTCTTTTTCTCTGATATCCAGCACTTGGTGAGCATTGTTTTCTTTTTTCTTTTCTTTAGCGCAGTGGTGGTTGGGGTGGGCTACGGCTAGAATCCTGTCTGCGATTTTCCTTCCCAAACCCTGAAAGGGGTTGTTTGGCCATTACCGAAAGGAACCACATTCATTGACAAGCATGTGACTTGATTCGATTCCCTCATCATTGGGCCCAATCAAGTGGGTCTGTTGGATTCGGAGGTTGAACAAAGCAAACAGGTCTCTGGAGTAAGGTTCCTCAAAGGAGGCAGCACAGCTGTCTTCAAACGTAGTGCGGAAAAATCTCTTCCTAATTCCAGAGAAATCCCAACTGGAGGGAAAAATGTATTTAATTAAAGCTGGAGCGCTCTAAGTCAAACTCAGAAGGAATTTCTCCATCAGCAGGGGAAATAAACACTGCAGGAAATTGAGGGGGGTGTGACAATTAGGTCCCTAGAGGTGCTTGGGGGAGAAATTTTACAAGTGGTTCCCAAGCTGACTTTGCCATCCGGAGCACCAAAAAAACTTACCCAAAACAGATTCCTGGGCCCTCCCGGCGATTCGGCCTCCGGCGAGGGGTGGAGCCCTGGAACGTCTCTTCTAACCTCGGCCGGGTAACCTTACAGCCGGCGGTCTCTTGGACGCTTCGGGGAACCCCCAAGAGGCTTGCCTGGAGACAAGTTCCACAGTTTACAGCTCCCCAGAGCGGGGCCCACACTGCCACCCTAGAGAAGCCAATTTATTATTATTCAGGGCACGCAGTCCTGGGAAGCCAGGCTGCCCGTTTCCAGAGAAGGGAGGGGAGCCCCACTTCTTTCACAAAAGGACCCCACGGGGCGCGATGGCTGGGTCCGGCCGAGCCCAGCGCCCTGCGCTCCCTCGCGAGGCCCGGAGGACGCTCCTGGCAGCCGCCCCCGGCCCGGTCTCCCCCGCGAGCCGCCGCCCGAAGGCCGGAGGGGAGCGGCGAGGTTTGAAAGACCTTTGTGTCGCCGCACGGACTACCTCGGGAAGACGCCTCTGCGTCTCCCCCCCCCGCCCCCCGGGGTGGACGCAGCGCCCCGCCCCACGGGTCCGAAGCTTGGCCGGGGCGAGGGCGTGCCAGGCACCCGGGCTCAGTCCACCTCGGCCCAGCCCTGGCAAAGAAGACCAGGCAGGGTCCCCGGGCCGCGCCCCTGAGGCGCCCTAGGCTCTTCCCGATCCCGGAACCCGCGGATTGGGGCGCGCCCTGGTGGGTTCGGCAGGGCCGGGGCGCCCCCTAGTGCCCGGCGCGTGCAGATGCACCTTGACGCTCAGCGGACCGAGGTTTTTTTCCCCCCCAGACCCAAGGCCTGGGTTCGGAGACCAGGAAGCAGCACCGTGGACTCCAAGCCCACCCTAAGAGCTACTGACCACTCTAGAGGGTGGGGAGGGGGTTCCTGCTTCAAGAGGGGTCTCCACGGAGGGAGGGAGCGCTGCCCTCCCTGTTGCTCCCAAGCAGATCGTCCCGATCAATCGTCCCTCACTCCATCCCTGGCCAGGGACCCCCAGCTCATCACGTCCCAGCTGCAATGCGAGAGTAGCAAATTCTCCCTGCAAGTGAAGGTCCAGGCCCTCTCCATCTGCCCCCAACCCTGCACACACGGGGGACATCGGTGGACGCAGCCCTGGGAGAGGACGCCTTGCACGGAGCCAGGACAGCTTGAGGCAGAGCCAGAGGCAGCCAGCCCTACCCCTGGGCCACAGTCTTCTTTGGCCTGGCATGACCCACTTGCTTGGCAGCACTTCGGTATTATGGGCTGCCAGTGCTGAGTCACAGCTGTGACCTGCTGCCCCAGCTCAGTTCAGGTAAAGAAGGAGGGAAAAGGAAACATAGCAGGACACATGGGGGTGGTACAAGAGGTGCCAGCTGCCCTGTGGCTCTGTGGTGCCCATGCCAACCTACTCAACAGACTCACTTTGTCCCACCTAGGAATCAAAGCCCCACCCAAAGGTCACAGATGGCACCATCAGGTAAGGGCACCTAGGGAGAGTCTCTGGGTGTGTCAACTTGCCACGTGGCTATGGAACCCAACCCCCCCCCCAAAGCTGGCACAAATCACTGTCGCAGTAGCCAAAACTGAGCCCAGGGAGGGGAACGACACCACCTGCTGATATCCATACAGGTGAGGACAGGAACAGGGGCGGGGGCAAGGGCAGTCCTCAGAACCCTCAGGCCAAAGGCTGGGCCACAGCACCCCACCCCCAACACAGTCAAGGCTCCTAGCCTTTGGAGAAACCCTAGGGTGGGTGAGAGAACTGGAACAGCTTGTGGGGTTGGGGTTTTCTAGAGGCAAAATGTAATACTAGATGGTCCCTGCAGGGATTGCTAGCTATCACTTGCCCCTGCTCTCTGCCCCATCTTCAACAGTTAGAAACTGTTTCTAAATAGTCAGGGAGCACTCACTTAAGCCAAGGTAAAGGGAATATGCTGAGAACAAAATTTCCCCCAAGATCCAGGTGTGGTGGTGTATGCCTGTGATCCCAGCACTCTGGGAGGCTGAGGCAGGATTACAAGTTGAAGCCCCCAGCCTGGGCAACCTCCCAACTGAGCAAAACTCTGTCTCAAAATAAGAATTTTTAAAAGGGCTGAGGGCTGGGGATTTAGCTCAGTGGCTCCACCGCCTGCCTGGAAAGCCCAAGTTCCTGAGTTCAATCCCCAGTACCTCCCCCCAAAAAGGGTTAGGGTGTAGCACAGTACAAAGGCCCTGGGTTCAATCTACTGTACCTGTACTGTACCATGCCAGAGAGAGAGAGAGAGAGAGAGAGAGGGAAAGAGGAAGAGAGGAAAGAAAAGAAAGGAAGAAAGGAAAGGAAAGAAAGGAGAAAATCCCAAAGGATGAGGCCCCTTCATCCTACCCAATCCACTTAGCCTCCACTGCCACCCCAGTGCCTTGTTACCCCCACACTCCTGTCACATGTCCCTCTACCTCTAGCCACTGACTCCAGAAGACATCTTAGAAACCTAGCCTAATCTTCCTTGCCCCCATCACTTTAGGAAGTGGGAGGTACTTAGGGCCTTATTCCAAGAGGAGGCAAAGGCTCCTCCAGGTATTCAGCCTGTAAGCATTTGAACACCAGGCTGTGTGGAATGTGGAGATAACTAGGATGCACTCATTGAGCAGCTTGCACTGGAACCGCCCTGGGCCACCTGGGAGTACCCAGCCCCAGACTGCAGGTTTCTGTTCCCCACACTGTTCCAGGCACTTAGCCATGTATGTGGCTGGGCATGGGGGGCCAGGGTGGGAGAAGAAAGGACAGCAATGCCACGCTTCTCCATGATAGATCCTGAAGTCTACTGTGGCCATAAGGTCTGAAAGATCTTCTTGCTTTCTAGATTCCGAGTTGAGAGATGGAAATGAAAGCAGCATTTATCCCAGGTGGGGGTCTAGGAAGGGAACTGGCATGCAGCGCAGCCGAGAACTCTCCAGCAGCCCTTTTTGTGTCCCCACACGTCTCCCTACTCCCTCCTCTTTACTGAAACTGAAACCTCTGTGTTCACAGTTACCATTTACACTTTGTGTCCCTCTTTGGGGTCTGGCTTGGCATCCACATGCAACAATGGGGACCAGTCTAGACCCCCCAACAGCATAGGTCAAGTTGACTGGGCTGTTGAGCTGGCTGCAGGCTGCCTGCTGCTCCCCCTCAACCCAGAAGGCCAAGGGGGCCTGGCAGCCCTGAAAGGCCCAGCAGCCTCGGGTCCCACTGTGGAGGGCACCTGCTCGGGGATGGAGCTGTGCAGTCAGTAAACTGGCTTTGTTCTCACACCTTTGTCTTGTGCTTATTTCCCTCCTTGGACAAAGTCTGAGGGTCTCAAGCTTGTGGAAGGAGGAAGCACATCTCACAGCCCACCTCACCTCCACTTTTACTTGCCATGGGGGCCGTGTCCTGGGGCCCCATGAGCCGGGGCAGATTGGTACCTACTTAGGGCCTAGTGGGTATGTGGACACTGTGCTTCTTTCCTAATTGCATCTTAGGGTTCAAAGTAAGTCACAACTTGGGGTGAAAAAAGGACAGAAAAGATCAATGAGAAAATTGTGTAATTGTGGAGGGGGAGATTAAAAATAATAAAAGATAGAAGAGACAGACTACAACACATGCAGACACATCATGCCAAAGGAAAGAAGCCAGACACCAAAAGCCACATAGTCTGTTTGGGGTTTTTTTGTTGTTGTTTTTTTTTGTTTTGGTACCGGAGATCGAACTCGGGTCCTTGCACTTGTAAGGCAGGCAGCAAAACCACTGAGCTAAATCCTGGCCCAAAGCCACAGCGTCTATTATTCCATTCATACTCAATTTCTAGAAAATGGTAACCACAGAAACCAAACGCAGACCCACGGTCTCTGGGAACTGGGAAGGGGGCAGATATTGAGAGCAGACAGTCTGGCAGGGACCTCTGGAGTGCTGAAGGTGTTACAAGGCCGGTCCATGGTGGTACACAGCTGGACAGATCTGCTCAGGCTCACCGAACTGCACATTTAATCGTGATATGTGCCTCTGTAAATTGCCTGAAGAGTGGGAGAACAGATTTTAAAAGGGGAGTCAGAGTAAGGAGGAAGAGAGACACGCGCCTTGAGACTCATACTCCTGAGGGGCAGCCCCCGCTTCCCAGCCTGCCCTCATCTTGGGAGCTCAAAGGAGAGATACTGCTGCAAATGGGGAGGGGCAGAATGAGGGATGGTGCCGCTAGGGATTTAGAAAGGCTCGAAGGA